TTCACCGTAAATACTATTCCCAGTTCAACTAATTATTTTGTAGATGATCATTCCAATTCAAAAAAAATTGGCACCGGGAGGCACGTATATAGCCACCCATACTAAAATATGTTAATAAAAAGTTGGTAGGCAGTTTTTTTAGTTTCAAAAGGAATTTTTCCAATTTTGGTCCGCGGTTATTTCCCCTATCCGCCACCTGGGGTCGCGTCCGATTGGAGTTCGGAGTTCTCCACACGGATTTTCTCAAAAACGGACTACGAAAACACGGAATATCTCAAAAACTGCGACTTTGACTGATTTTGATGTTATTACAAATTTTGTTGCAAATATTATTCCTAATCTTAAATCGAAAACCGCGTTTCGCTAGCTACTGTAATTTTGGAGTTACGTTTTTTTAAATTTTTTAACCCCCTTCCATACCCCCTTTCCAATCCCGCACCCCCACCAAAAACTAATGGCCAGATTCTCGGGTGCCACAGTATTTTTATGTCAAATTTGGTTAAAATCGGTTTAGCGGTTTTTGAGTTATCGTGTTACAGACGGACAGACAGACAAACACAGACAGACACTGTGAAAATATTTTGTATTGAGGTCATTTATTACCCAAATAACTAATTTTGAGTGAATTTAAAAAAACTTTTTTTTGCCAATCTTAATAGCCTACCATACCTGTTGGTATGGTCGGCTCTTATTAGCCGCAGTATTATAAAATTTTAGTAATTTGAATGTAGATTTTTGCAAATAAAATTTAAATTCCCATTACAAATCAACGAAACTCAGAAGTACAACTTTAACGCCTTTAATACATATGCTTAATACAGTTCATGAAGATTGGGACATTTAACTAAAATTTGATTGTCTCATGAAGCTACCTTTAAAAGTAATGGATTTGTAAATAAACCTAATATTCATTATTATGCGACAGAAATCCCATACTGTAGCACACAGATTTGATATTTTTAATGATAAATGCCTTCTATTGAGAGACTAAAGGGTAATTGCCTCGTATCAGAGCCATCTTAATACAAGAAGAAGACCGAAAGTCAAATCTTGTCTTATATTTTCAAAAAAACACAATTTTCTCATTAAATATTGATTTTAGGTATAGGAAGTTATTAATAATACAAGATTAAACAACTATTACACATTACTTTACAGGAAGCTATCGATTGCGAACTAACTAAATCGTTACTAATTACTAATTTTAAAAAGTTCTTTTTAAGATCAAAAAAGGTAAAACTAAAACCTAAATTATCATTTGAGATTAAACGGGAAGTTCTAAATAATGTTGCCTATTCTAAACAAGAAAAATTTATTTATAAGTTTTATAACATCTCTAATTAAATTTGGACGAAAATAAGATTTCTGTTTGCTGTAGGTAATTTTCTCAGGGAAAATACGAAAATAAAAATGACTTTTTAAGTCAAAAAAAGTCAAAAGGACAAGTTATTCCAAAAAAGGACTGTCCTTTTCAAAAAAGGACAGGTGGCAACCCTAGGTATTTCTGGAATGGAAATTTAATGCAAACCTACAACTTTAGTTTGAAAATATGTTGCGGCCACCTATGTTTACAAAAATGTCTAAAATGTGCTTTACCATTGCCATATTCTGAAAAAAAAATCGAAAGAAAAGTCACCAACCACAAACCTAATATAGAACTGTTTCGGAAGCCTGAGTCACCCTGTAAATATTCAAAAGTAGCTGAAACTTTATATAGAATTAACTGAAAGTTTAAATTGAAAATCGACGTTGGAGCGATTTTCGAAAACTACCTACTAACGTTTCAACATAAGTATATGTGGGATATTAATTATATTATTATATTAGACCTTATAACAAAACTCATCTGACGAAAAAGTGTTAATGTAGTATATTAATATGGAGTAAACATTTTACTAATTACTTTACTTTTACTTTACTAATTAAATTCGTTCCAAAAAACGATACGCCACTGGCCATTAGAACAATCCAAATGCGCCTAGTTGCCGAGGTCGGAAATTTTAGACTTCTCTGTCTCTTCTGTCCTTGTTTGACACATTGGAATGTTTGATACACTACCAACGAGTATTTATGAATGAGATGTTCGGTCTATATTTATAATGTCTTTGGGTATGTTATACCGTTTTCCATAAACAAAACAAATATTCAGTAAAATCTATATTATAACAGAATTGTTCTACAAATGAAATTAAATATAAGCATTTTCAAAAAAAAAACATTTTTCTTTTAAAATCTTTCCTACTAAATGGATTTATCGAAAAACTCACACAATGTTGTTCTGAAGAGACAAGCTTTTACCGCAAGCATAAACTTCAAAGCTCAGTGTCTCGACCCGTTGGCGTCCGAGACGTTTAGCAGTAGAGACACAATTTGGCAAGGAATATTGTAGACCAAACTCTAACGTGTAGGTTTTCTGGCTCTAAGCCAGTTAGAGGAAAATTAAAAATTTTATTAGTCTAGTATGGATATTTTACAATCTAGTAAACAAAACACTTTGACATATATTTAATTTTTTCCCATAGCAATTGTTAAAATTGTTAAGTCTTAGTTCTTTTCGCACGTTTTTTAATTGCTTCCATTTTTGAAAATTTTTGTATTCCTTTTCATAAGTTATTCGGGATTTAAAGGGAAGTAGTTTGGACATGGCGTTTGTCGCCTCAGCCTGAATATCTGTTGGTAATTTACTTATTTTGTTTTGAGCCATTTCTGGCTCCAATTTAATCAGCAATCGACACGAAAGAGAATTAAAAAATATTGACTCAAAACTGACTACTAAAGAGACAGCTTTATTTATTTGTCAAATTACATAGAAACCAACGCCAACCCAGCACAATATTTTTTCTACTCGTAATAAATACCTTGAAATAATAATTTCTGAATATTTTTTAAAACGTAACTCGCCATGGAAAAAAATATTGTTTTATACACAACGATAATCATTTCGGCTTGTATAAAAAATAACGATTAATTTATATTTTTACTTTTTTTAAAAAACAATCTGAGAATTGAGTGCTTGAAATATTTTAAGCTGTTATGATTGTCTCTATTTTACCAGCAATATTTCCACAGAGTAGCATATATCTGTCTAACTTAATTTTAACCGGATAATGATAATATATGTGGACGTATACATCTAGGATATATCATCGTTTATGGCCTATTGTACATATTAGGAGTATCCAATTAGTTCGAATATCGGCAAATTCAGACATCGTTCCGGTTAGCGTCAACGTGCATGTATATCGATTTTGATGTCCAGATTCAATTAAAATTTTAATAGATCACTTTAAATAAATATTTATTGGTCCTATTAGAAATGCATGAAATTATGACACTAATTAGCAAACTTATACTATCTTAAACTCCTTGTGGAATTTTTTCGAATGTATATCTAAACAAATAAAACAAACTCTTCAAAAAAGTCCTATTAAGTATTTTGCGACTTTAAAAACACGATTTGGGCATTTTTTAACCAGCCAGGACAATGCATGAAGAACATTAGACGATCAAATCTATTTTTCCAAGGCTCCTTGATTAAAAATTAGAGTTTTTAACATAGCCATGGCACTCTAGATTGAAATTTAAAATACGATTTTTTAAGCGAAAATTTTAAGCAATGTCATTCTATTCAGAATGCCATTTTCTATTGAATAAATTAATAATATACCGAGGATGCCATTTAAAAATTATACTTGTAGTCATATTTACGGTAAAACAGGAAGTGGCCAAAACTAACTGAATACGTCAATCAATCCTGATTTATGTCTTATACAAACATACCAAATCTCGTTTTTTCATCTGAAAAAATAAAAAACAATTATAGAGGTGAGCCACTTTTGAGACGCACCCGGTATTGTGTTACAATTTTTACGTCAATTTTTAGTAAACGGCGTCTACAAATTGGTGCCATTTTTATTCGATCATACGGTAGTTTTACGAACAAGGAGAATTTTCAACTAATCTTGAGATATTTTTGAACAAATCCTACAAAAATAGCTCAAAAAATAAAAGTTCAAGAAACTTGAAAATTAACTAAGTTACTAGAGGAAACTACTTTAAAATATATCTTCGGTAGAAAACATTAGTGCGCGGTTCTTATCTGAAAAAAGTCCTAATCTACGACACCTTTAAACCTTAGTCTTATTCTGCGCTGCACACTGAGATATTTTCAGGCTCTTTGTTCCCGGCTTTACACTGCCACAAATTGCGTTCCATCTGACCGAAAAGATTTTAGTACGAAATTCACGATTATCTTGACCCAATTCGATAATAGTTTCGGAAGAAAAATGGTTGTTTTCAAGCCAAAAATGTAATTTCACTTAAAGCGATGCATACTAAACTAGGAGCCCCAGTGTGTGGAAGGGTAATTACATTAAGCGTAGAAAAAAATAATTTTACTATGGATCTATTACTAAATAACCTTAATAACCATGTTAGCATCATCAGCAGAATTGTAAAACTAAACTAATATCTACAAATTGAACGCTGCTGCTTGGCTGCCGCCAGAGTTTAAAAAGAAATACTGCTGTTAAAAATGTATCATACAAATATATAAAAATCTGACTTAAGCTTTTTATAAAAAAATGACTTAATATCAAATGACTTAAGTCATTAAAAAGACTTAAATCAAAAAAAGACGTAAGTTTTCTGTGAGCTTGCAGCTCTGGGAACAGAGAACTAGAAGGAATGAGACTTTTACCCTCTGTTCAGATTGTCTATACATTTATTTATTTTCTTTCTATCATAAACATCGAATTGCCAGTAATTTGAACATGTATATAATGGTAATGAAGGAAAATAACTATTGCATCAGCTAACTTTTTTCTGTTTCATATCTGTCGTTTCATAACGTTGTGTTTTATTTTACAGAAAAAATGAACTATCCAAACATGCAACCCAGAAATGCATAACAACTGAACAAATAACAGACCAACAAGACACGAGAGGCCATAGAAGAAATCTACACTGAAGAACCATAGAAGAAGAATAAAAAATCGAACTTGAGTTAGGTATAACATCTTACTTCAATTTAATGCAATCATTTTTAAGATTCTCGTTTTCTATTGGTTACAGATATACTGTCTTAAGAGATACATCCAAACCAGAGAAATGCAAAAGTACAATCAAGAAATATCCAAAACTACTGCACAATAATAGGCCTAAATTTTTAAACAGGTATTACTTTGATGACTATTTTAATAACATATTTTAAAGATTTTTTGTTGTTGATGTTTACAGAAGGGGATAACAGAGACCATAAAATCCACCAAATCATTGAGCAAGAACTACTAGTATGAAACTAAGGCTAAAGAAGATTTCGGTACCTTAATAAGGAAGCAAAAATTATATTTTAGTCCACATCCAGAAGAACTCTTTAAACTAAATTTGGACTTTTCACCAGATATTTTCAAGCTTAATTGACACCTTCACAAATTCAACATATGCTATTCGACTACCCTGTCCTGTCGCAAATCATAGAGTCCATTATACTGTAATGGATACACGGGAGACACTTATTTAATTGGTATGAAATTATTGTTGAGTTCTTTCTATACAATTTTTCAAATAAGTTTTGTTCTTTGCAGAATTTGTGTGGTGATGAGTTACATCCGGTCACCAAATGGCAATTGGAAGAACATATTGGAGATAGAGATAAATCAGAGGAAGCATAAAGAAGAAGTTTATAAAGTTTTGATAACTATGTAAGTTGAAAGAAATTAATATATTGTATGATCGACAAAAAAAGGCGTGTCAGTAGTGAAATGAGTTAATCACCGCGACCTTAAAGATCTTTTGTGTCCCCCTTTCTTGAATTATTACTCATCGCACAGTCTATAACTCATCACACATAGGGACTCTCCTGTTATGAGAGGGGACTGAGTATTTCCCATCCTCCTCTGACAACAGATGCTCTTCCTCCGAGGTGTGGACATCTACCTCCGACGAGGTTTCCTTCCAACCGTGGAGGTTCCCTTTCAACCGTGGGACCCTTCCACGGTTGGAGTTTCGCCCTCCGTGCCTTTCACAGTCCAGGAGCTTGTCTCCAGCTGAGGTACCCTTGAAGTGGATGCTAGAGGATCAATCTCCATTTTCTCCACCTCTTTAACTTGGTTTCTCCTTAGACCTGATACCAGTGTTTATCCCGGATCTATGTATAATAGAGGATATATCTCCCTTTCTCCATTGCTTCCTTGGATTTGAGGTCAATTCCTATTGTGAGGAACTGACTATGACCCTCCTTTCTCGAATTTATGACTCGCCAAGTCGATATCCATACATTGGAGTTATGGCAAAGCTGGTGATACACCGTAAGGATTAGTAGGTCCTCTTCTACATATGTAGAATTAACGGAGATGATAATACAATGGGTTGCCCTCTGGTGCTCTAAGAACGAGACCAGTAAAGACTAGTCTTCTATCTAGCAACACCTTCCTGTGTCCTGGTCCCGCCAGTCCTGGGATTTAGGTTTTTGATGAGCTAGGATTAAGCTAAGCGGTCAGTCTAAGACCCCTATACCCTCTGCACGTGATACATGACCACAGACAGTAAAAGGTGCCTGGTATGACGGACAGCAGAGTATAGTTCAATCCGGCATCGTTATACGCCTTTCCCTGGCTACGACGCTACAGCCAGGAATAAGTCAGTAAAATTCTCCTTAGACCCAGCCTAAGCGCCAGAAGGGATTCCCCTTATCACCTGACTAGGAGCTTCCCCACCAAAGACAAGGTCTCGCATCCATAGATAAAGGAAATAAATTTAGATTGGAAAGCCCGTCAAAATATATAATAATTGTTTTGGGTCGCGACCGTTGTACGCATGTTGTACGCGATCTGGCGCTGCTATAGAGGTTGCTAAGATCAACCGCCAAACAATAACAGAAATAATTTTCACCAGGGCCGGGAAAGTGAAATAGCAAAAGCAGTTCCACCGTTTCCACAGAAATCTCAAATAAAATAGTTCCAGCCCTAGCCACTAGGTGGTGGTGCAATTCATTTTTAGGTTAAGAAGTTGCTACTAGTTGTTGCCAGATGGCGTTAAATCAGAATTTTTTTGTAGTTTCCATAGTTTCCAACGGCCATTGTCATATTATTGTCAAATTCTCAAAAAATATAGTCGTTGTCATAGCGCCAATCATAATATTATCAAATAAATGATTATCAAAATGTTTTTCAAACTATAATTTGTTATATGTGTTTTAATTAGACAATTCCTTTTGTTTGTGGCCCTAAAAATATAATGTGAGTCTTTTATTTTTGCCATCATTTAAGTACCTACTTATATTTACTCCATTTACAAAACTTTGGGCGTATTACGTTGGTCTTGTTTTATTATAATAAACGATATTTAAATATTTGACTTATAAATAAAAACTTTAAATAATAAATTATATTTCACATGTTTGGCTTTAATTTTATTAAATAATTCTATAAATTATACTGTTAAATCTTATTTTTTACACATCACAACGATACTTGTTATTAGTATTGTTGAATTTGTGTCAAAAATAAGATTGAATAATCAAATTTAATTATTTTAGAGTAAAATTCAATAAATACGCTCAAAAAGCCCGCGCTTCGATCCATCTAAAACAAGCCCTACTCAATAGATGGCGCCACTTCTGTAGGACCATTTTTCACTATGGCAGAGTCCATTCTTTTTCTAGCTAGGTATATTCTTTGATTTTCAGTTGTCAAAGTCAGAATCTTCAAAAATTATAAAATTTTTCAAAACTTAACCCGCCCTCATTGAAAAAATACCGAAAAGTGTACAAAACGTCCATTCCCAAAGTAATTATTGCTATCTTGTGAGTTCTATTTAAATTTTACTTACTCAAACCCGTGATAATTGTGAAAAAGTGGCATTAAAAACTAAAAAACTGTGTAGTGAATTGTGAACTGCAAAAAACCATCGTGAATCGTGGCCTAACGTCGGTTTCCAATGTTTCATAGGTATTTCACATACATGTCCTCATAAAAAATAAAGTTTCATGTATGCAACACACTGTATTTTATTTATAAAATTATAAGGAAATAATAATAAATTTGAATAAACAATATTTGCCGACAAAATTCCGAAATAAGCCGAACCGATCCGAAATTATGAAAAGCTTTGGGTTGCAAGAATAGCGCCAAAGAGTGTTTACAGTGTCCTTATGGACACTTTCTAATCTAAACTTGTTTCATTTATCTATGCTCGCATCTACTAAAGGAAGTTTTTTTGACGGTTATATTGTGTCAAAATTTGTATATTGTTGTCAAAAATCCGGACATCTCCGGGTAATCTGGACCGGGTAAAACCTTATCGATATCAGTAATTATTTTGCGAATTTAAAGAACCTAATTTTTGTTGATACTCTGTAAAATTTTGTATAAACTAATTATATTATATTTTGTTACAGGTCACACGAGAACAAAGATCTTCTTCTTCTTCGACTTCTTCTGTGGAAAGGCTGAAATTCCCAAGTCCAGACAGCATTCACCCAGCTCTTCACACAGAGATACTATACGCAGATCACCGCAGAAAGAAGAAGAATTATTAATTTTCTAGATACTAATTGCTAATGTGTTTATTTCTAACAAAAAATTATATGTAATATTATGCATTAAAGATAAATAAATAAATATTAAAAAAATATACTAAATTATATGGTTTAATTTATTACCGCATCCCCTATATAGATCACAATATAACAAAATAATATATAAATCAATAGTATAGAAATATAGAGAAAGAAAAGTATAGAAATACTATGAAAAAAGCAGGCAAAAAAATACAGACATATTTACCACAGTAAATATAATCCTTACCTCTTCACTCTTATCTATTCCTGATGATATTTGCTTAATGTTGAAATTCTCAGATTTGTATCAGGAGGATATAAAAGCGAGAAGGTTGCTAAAAATAATATTTAACGTTAAACGAAAAATAAATTCTGGTCTTAATATTTTACCTCCTCGCTCATGATCGAAAATCCAAGCATCAGTTTTTAATAAAAGGTAGTCAAAATTTATTCCACCTGGTAAAAATCAGAGAACTTGACCAACGAGCTCAAACAGTTAGATTTTTTTGGAAAAACGGCCATAACTTCCAAACTAAACGAGATATCGAGGAACGGAAGTCGGCAATCGATAGGAAATTCAATTCTCTATAAGGGTGTAAATTTAGGGGATGATCGGAGCAAAAAAAAAATTTTGCCGAAAAATGAAGGAAGGTTAACCCCTTACCTCATTTTTCGCCAAAAATTTTTTTTGTCTCCGATCGCGCCCTTGTTTTGCGCCCTTATAGAGGGTTGAAATGCCTATCGATTGCGATGTTCCGTTCCTCTCTAACCCTTATAGTTTCCGAGATATTAGGGGTTGAAGTTTTCCAACGAGGTCGAATTGCTAGAGATAGCAGAAATATCGTTGATTAATGCTATATTTACATGTAGTACTAAATTTGCTCCTTACCTCTTCACGCTTATGCGATCCTGATAGAAATCGGCGATTTTGGACGAGGTTTAAAAATTTTCCTGCAGTCTTTGACAAAAATTGAATTTTCTCGGATATGTATCAGGAGTGCATAAGAGCGACTAGGTAGATATTGGTACTTAATTTACTATTTACCTATATCTTCACACTTATGTGCTCCTTATAGAAATCGGTGATTTTGGACTGGGATTAAAAATGTTCATTTAATTTTTGTTAAAAGCTGAATTTGAATCTCAGATTTGTATCAGGAGTACATAAGAGCGAGGAGGAAAAGGTAGGTATTATTTTTATATAAAATACTGTCTATTCCAGAACAACTTGTTATTAGGATATAGTACCTACTTTTATGGTAATTAAAAAATGATTTTTTCTTTTTGTTCAGGATTAGACAGTATTTCTAATTTTTGGTTCAATAAAACTCATTTGTTATTAATTAGTATTTATTTACATATTATATTTTATTAACAAGAGTAATATAAAAAGCATATTAAAATCCAAGGTCTTGATGGAAATGCTGATGTCTATGAAGAGGTAAATAAAGCTTCTGGCAACCCTCTGGAATGTTTTTATTCTATAAGAAAAGTAAAAAAAATAATTAATTATTTGTTCACTAACAAGCTTGATTAAAAACTACCGTATTATTGAAAAAAACGGCGTCAGCGATGGCCATGAAATGAAGATCGCAGACATTTTATATGTAAATTTATATGGGAAATGTCATCGATGGTCATTTCCCAGCCAACTAGAGAGCCAACGTTTTTTTTTCGATCATCCGGTATATACTTCTATAACTTTAATAATTATTCAGTAAATTGATCGAGTACAGGGTGTCCCATTTTGGTTGAAATCATACGGTATCCCCGTTATTAGTGAAGATAGAAGGGTGCGGTTTGCACAAACCTGTCTCACTTTTTTGTCAAACGGAAGATGCCGTAAACAAAATTTTCATAGCCCTCTTCGTTTCCGAGCTACAGGGTCTTTTTGAAAATTTTGCAATTTGGGACACCTCCTGTATCTCTGTTATTGTTAAAGCTATCGAGAAGGTGAAAACTGTTTATTGTAGAACTTTTTACGTAGAATACAGTGGCGTAGTCTGTTTTTCTAAAAAAAAATATTTTTGAAAATATGAACTAAAGTTATGTTTTTTTAAATAGAACATCCTGTATATTTATAAATCATATGATCTGTCTTGCCATAAGCTTCTTAAAAATATATATCACTCTA